TAGCATTGAACCATTTATTCATGTGGGAGAGTACTCTGTTTGATATTGCACAGAAATCATCAAACATTTTACTAGAGATTATAACACTTGTATCATCAGCAAATATTATGGGTTCTGATGAAAAATTTATTGTTGGTGGAAGGTCATTTATATATATTATGAAAAGCAAGGGTCCCAGGACAGATCCTTGGGGAACTCCATGCTTTACTGTTCTCCAGTTTGAGAAAAAATTTTGAGTATATTTGGGTGATTTTATCTCAACCTTTTGTTTTCTATTTGTTAGATAGGATTTGAACCATTTTAACACTGTTCCTCGAATGCCATAAAATTGCAGCTTACTTAACAAAATTTCATGATTTACACAGTCAAAAGCCTTTGCCAGATCACAGAAAATTCCTCCTACATGCCTTTTTTGGTCAATTGATTTTAAAACATTGTCTGTTAGCTTGAATGCTGCATCTTCAGTGGATACACCCTTCCTAAAGCCATACTGTTCTGGGACCAATATGTTGTTACAATGCATATGCTGATTTATCCTGCTGTACATGACCTTTTCAAGTATCTTAGAAAAAGTAGATAATAATGAAATCGGCCTATAGTTCGTCATACTGTACTTATCTCCTTTTTTGAACACTGGTTTTACTATTGAAATTTTTAGACGGTCTGGGAAAATGCCTGTGTATAATGAGTGATTACAAATGTACAATTTTTGGAAGGTAGAAAATGATTATCCCAAATGCAGGTTATTTACTAAGTTAGAATTCATTGAATATGAGAAAATCATGCATTGTTTATATTGTGTTTGGACTGGAATCATAGAAAAATATTCACTGAATACAGGATTTTGTTTGGCATGGGAACATAAAATTGGTATTTCACTGGATGTACTGATCCCTTGTCCTCAACCTGCCATATAAGACACCTTTTAGAATGAGATGGAGTGAGAGTCCGCACACTATTGTCGATGATAGCCTAGAGCCCTGATTTACTGTGCTCTGGGAATGACTCTTTGACCAACTTCAAACATAAGCTTATGCAGAAAATATCTGGATTGATTGTGTTCTTTGTGGTGTTGTAGAACAAATGGAACTAATTACTTTAGTTAATTAGTTAACATGGCAAGAGGAGGATAATGGTCTGGAAGTGGGGATATAGAACAAAATGGTGATTGTTTTAGGTGATACATGTGCAAACTATTGGATTTAAAACGTCATGTTCACAGGGCATACTGGAGTTTCCGAAGTCACTTCCCAGAGCAAGCTGACTCACTCCTGAACTCTCTGGATAGTTCATACAAAAGGGCATTGAATGGAGAGCTAACACTCTCAAATTCAAGTTCAAGCAACTCGCTGTACCACCAGGGAGGAGGCTCAACAGTGTCTCGTTATGGCAGTGGAGGTACCACACCCCGAGTACGACTCACCAGCAGTGCCACGGGTAAGCCATGCTAATGGCACAAAGTGTTATGAGTACATTGCCAAGAAATGCTCCCCCTAAACCCAAAGAGTGTATAACAAAATGTCAAATGTGAGGCAGCAAGATTTGTATTGTTTGTGCATTTGCAACAAATGGTTTTGGACAGTACTAAGGTTAGTCATGGCTATGACAATGTTCAGTACAAATTCTATCCATTTTGCATATTCATGTTGTGTTGAAGGCTTTCATGGCCAAAACTAATTCATATGGAGGGAAATAGTATTATAGCAAGCAGAAGGGTCCAGGGCAAATTTGTGTATAGTGCAATAGCACAGTCAACAGCCAGCCAGTGATCCACTTATATTTTGTGTATTTTACCATGGCCAGAAAGATTCGTAATTTGTACCTACAGATTTTTAAAATTTGTTTTTGCTTTTAGTAACTTAGATCATTCATGTCTAACACTACAGTGTGATTTTTGTGTAAATAATAAGGTTGGTTGGTTGATTGGTTGGTTTGTTTTAAATGCTGCACTTTTGACAGCTAAGTTATATGTGCTTTTAACGTCAACAGGATGGCATGTTGTAACTCATTTTCTATTCACACATCACTTGGGTGAGTTATGTTAACCAGTAACTAATATCTATATATAAATGTATGTATACATATGGTAAGAATGACATTTGCAAATTGTTACATGTAGCTTACAGTGTGAGATGGTAAAGTTACTGCTCTTTTACTGATATGTAATTAGGAAATCCCGTAAAAACACTGCAACATTGCATTGTTGGGGTGGTGCACTTCTTCTGCAATCTGGCTCAGAAAATGGTCCAGTGGCAAACTCTTGTGAAGAGGATAGTGAACATTCAGATGCCATTAAGGATTTTGAATTTCTGGACTAACTGAACAGTTGTTTGCTTGTCAAGGATTCTGCTTCCTGGAGTGATTTGACTGCAATCATGCTTCACCTTTGTGGTGTGTATATGCTGTTGCGTCACATGGAACAGGATTAAAACAGCTACAGAGTGTTTTTTTTTTGGGGGGGGGGGATCATGACTTCAATATGGGTGTAAAATGCAGCTTAATAGTGACATAAAGATCCCAGCATAATAGCTATTACAGTAGCTGGCATGAATCTGTAAGCGTGGCTTCTTGGAGGTGAGGCTAGGGCAGAGCAAGGGCACAGAGGAAGAATAGTCACCTAACTACCAAACTGCCAGCATAGCCCATGATGGCAGCTTTCTGCAGTCAGTGAGACTGCAGTTGCCTACAGGAGAAGTTCACTCTGACTCCGTCTGTCTGTTTTTATCAGTGTATGTTGTCATGTGTATCCTTGTAACATGACAGTAATTAATGGGTTCTGGATTGGATAACTCGTTTTATTGGATAAGTTCATGCGTCATAACTACCATACTGTAATGTGTATTGCCGCTGAAGACGCCGTTCGAATTGTTAATTGGTTTATTTACCAACCTACAACTCTTGGCTACAATTATACCACTGTTACAGGTTTACACAATTTACAACCCTACACAATAATCTGTTCACTCTGTCCTCAGTAGTCTACACGTATTCAAAGTACGATATGGGAGCTCTACCAGTGTCACTGTATTACACACTCCCAATAACTTCTCTTGTGAGCCAAGCATCTGCATCTCACGCTATCACTTCTACTCACACGTTCTGATATTCTTCTTTCTGCTACAACTGAACTCGGCGACTGTTCCATCCGCACTGTGTCACTCCTGCTCACACACTAACTAACTAACTAACTAACTAACTGTCTCGCATACTGCTCAGCTGGCTTTTTGTAGCGTTCGCTGCTGCCTTTTGCCCATGTCAACAGTATCGTCGCGTGCCATGTCACAGTAGAAAGTGCTGCTGAATCACCTGGGGGGGGGGGCGCTGACTCACCTGCTGCATCACAGTGGGCAGCGCTGCCACATCACCGCGGGGTAGGGGGGCAGAACACCAACCGGCCCCCAACTGCAACAGCAACAGCAACAGCGCTCGATGCCACTGCGTCACTGCTGGGGAGTGAGGGGGTGTCCTCCATATCGCAACCTGTCACAATACATTGTTACACTTCAAATTATTGGCGAAACAATAACACATGAAGTCTTCAACACTTCAATTCCACTGCACTATAACACACATAAAGTCTTGAAATCACATGTTAAATCCTCATAGGCCGACCTTCTGTATGCTTCTGTAATCCTGGTTCCAATTCGCATGCTTCCGCTGCTACCATTTCACTCTTGTAACTAACTGAACTGAACTGAACTGTCACACACGCTCACTTATATAGCTGAGGGAAAGACAGTGCATCACCATAAACATGTCATGTGATCGCTACCCACTACTGTTGTGTGACATCACGGCTGACAGACGCACAGGAAACATGTCAAGTGACAGCCACATACTGTTGTGTGATGTCACAGCACGCACATTGCATAGCAATGGTCCATCTGCATACATAGAAAACATTGTTTCTGTACTGTTGTCCAAATGAGTGTTGTGGGCGTTATCTAGCAACAGGTCTACACGCCACAATATTAATGTATGAAACTGAAGGGGAAAGAACTTCATAGTCTAAGCTTGGTTATAATCAATAATGTTTATGTTCTTATAATGCAGCACGCTTGAAAAGATGGAAAACAGGCTACAGTAGAACATAGATACCTATCTCATTTCCATTCAGAAGTATGGAGACATAAGTGTTGCTGCACATTGTATTTCAAGGACAATTGTCAGTTGTATCAGAAGGTTGCTGAAAGTATAGGAGAAGAAAGTGCAGAGTTCTCCCTCACTACAGTCACACAGACAAGCATGTAAATTGTATTGCATGTAGGATTATCTATAAATTCTACATTGCTTAGATAGTGGAAACATGAGACAGAAACTAGAAGAGAGTACTAGTTTTGAAGGAAGTGAGAAAATGGAGATACATTTTGGAATTATTGCATTTTCTTCAGAAGGCAACAGAGAATATTTGGAGAATCCTCACTGAGAAAACCGAAATAAAGCAGGAGCGATTACAGTACTTGAAGTGCAGTTGTGGTTATAGAACATGGAATCACATGTCATGTCAACTCAAGCAGTAAGTGAATCATGCCCAGATGAGTCAAATGGAGGACATGTTTCATAGGGCTGAAGAGTGGATATTATCTACAGCCACTGAGAAGTAGTTTTATATTGGATGTCCTGGGGATGTGGAAGACTGATTCAGGTTATGGTGACCATCATTATACATACACCAGTAGAAGTTTGATATCACAGAAGGAAACACTGATTCCAAATTTTGCCACTGAATTAGTTGTTGACAGTACATCATACCACAAGTTTAAAGTAAGGAAGTCACTAATACCCAACTGAAGGAAATGAGATAAACTTGCTGCAGGGAAAAAAATTCCTTTCTCACCATTAATGCATAAGCCAGAAACGATGACATACAAAAATTCACAAATCATTGCCAGTGAGGGTCATACGGCACTGCAACTTCTACCATACTGCATTGACGTGAATCCATTGTGGTTTATGGTCATTGGTCAAAGGACGTTTTACAACGTATAATGTTATCTTTGAAAGGGATAATGTGGAAAAGATATGTGTAAGACATTCTCAGAAATTTGTTAGAAGATTGAAAACCACAATGTGCTAGCTTGTCATGAATCTTGAAAAGGGGTATTGAAAAAGATAGGTTATTATTGATGAAGTGATGGATATGTCTGACAGATACAAGAGTAGATGGAGATGGTGAAAATGATATGGAAGGTGATCCAAATACAGATCTCTCAGGTACTGACCTACTTCTGAGCAGTCAAGCAAATCTAACGAAGGTGTGCCAGTCTAATGTAATGAGTAACAGTAATATAATAATATTATAAAGTAGTGAATAATCTGATGACATTGTAATAAATAGTGCCAAAATTGATTCATGAAAAAGTGGAATGTAACATCTTTTGCTGCATTGTATAATTATTTTAGATTGCTCAAAGGTAAGCGATATTTCAGTATACTGTAATCAAATGCTAAACTTCTGGTGAAGATGGAAGTTTCATAGCTCATTGAAATAAGTGATAGTTTGTGTGGCCTGATGTTTTCAGGTAAGGTAGTATTTACCTCAACTGAGAAAGCATGTAATGAATATCAAGTTTTGCTGATTTATGCAAACTACAGTAACTGAAATAAAGTTTATTTCTGCTCCAAACTCTTTACAGAGGGGCTTATGTGTATAAATTTTGTGATAGCAAACCTTTCAGGATCAGATAATATATTAAACTGAAAACTGCACTCACCCAGCTTAACTTACATTGGAAAGTCCAGGAATGATATTCTTGGGGGGAGAGTGGTAAAGAAGAATGCAGTGAGAATCATGTGCCACTCTCTTGTCTTGTGCTTTGCTTCTCCTGTCATAAATGTGTGTTTCATATCTTATTTGGGTAGATGGTGCTGCATTGTGTAAGCAGCATATTGTGGAGCCTTGATTGCCAGTGCTAGATACACTGTAATTTTCCTTTTTCCTTTTAGCAGATAGACTGTAATCTGAAGATCATGAACTTCTAGGTTGTAATTCCATGTAATTCAGAGGAAGCCCAACATTTCAGATGAATATGTAGCCTCCATCATCAGAGTCAAAGGCCAAACCAAGCAGCATGCCTTCTTCTGCCAGTTTCTTGCTTTGGCTTTCTCTTTGACCAAGAAGATGGAGGCGGTATGTTTTTCCCAAACACTGTGCCTTCTCTGAACAGTGTTACCGCCCCCAATACTGCACTTTTCATAGGCACCACTGTGAGAACTTCAAATCCAGTAACATTTTTCCTGCATTTCATTTTACCTCACTTTGTTTTGTATCCAGCAAATCGTTTTATGATACTGTTTGAAGAATTAAAATTATGAAACTCTCTGTTATACATATCTCCAGACTCTTGTTTGTTAATTTCTTCTACATCAAAATATTCTTGGCATACCATGCTTTGTTTTCCCCTAAAAATTAAAAACCAGATGTCATGCTCATATAAAACAGTTGATAAAGTCATAATTTTACATTTTAATTTTTAGTTTTATGGAAAGGCAAGATAAAAGATTATGCATTTGGTGGCAACTTTAAGTTTCTATATTTATTCTGCTCATCTTGAAACATAATTTTTATATCTTTGTGTCAGACCTGAGTTCCTAAGCTTTGTTATAGCAAATCATCTTTATCAGTTGCAAAAATAATGGGAACAATCCTCGACATAGTTTTCATATATACAGTCTTTGCTCTGATGTTTAACCAAACTGGATGACTGTTTTCTGAAACAAACTTGGCTCTCAAGGCTCTGCTAAAATCTGTGGTGCAGTTTTGTGTGAGGGTGTTCAGTTGTCTTGGGTGTGGTACAGGCAGCACAGAGAACCTCCATCAACAGTCGCAGTACCACTACGGTCTGCACCGCACTCCCTCACTTACCCGGCACCATCGGTCGGGTATTCCAGTCCTTACTGCTACTTCAAGTGGGCCCAAGTCAATTGACACAGGTCTGATGTATCTCTTTGTGTCACTTCTGTGTTTGGATCCACTAGAGCTGTGTAATGGGACACTATTTACTTTTGTTTTGCCCTGATCCAGCTTAGTTTGCAAGCAGCACCTGAAATATGGGAACATCAATACATTGTTATTTATAGAAGTTGTTTTTTCATTGTGATATACCTACAAATGTGTGTGTGTGTGCATACATAGGCACACAGACACATGCTGATGCATGCGCACATGGACACATGCACACAGTACAACTGTAATAGAATGAACTTCATTATTGCTACAGAAATCATCAGCACCATCAGTTTCTTCATGGTAAATACATTGAAAAATGTCACATAAAATTAGGGCATTTTTTTCTGAAACCATCATCATTATGAGAGCTACCGAATTAGCCATAACTTTCTTCTGTTACTCTTAGCACCAATCATACTTGCTGTTTTATAGTATGTGGCTCATGAAAATGCCATTAACTCATCCTGTGGGTCTTATGTGGGGAAAAGTACACATTTTGGAATCTGAGTACTGTGTGTCTGAAGAGACTACATACTCCACTTCAGACAGAATGCTTTTGCAGGAAGTATTGGGTACCATTATATACTTGCTCAACCAATGATCAAAGTGAAAGACAGTCATTTCATGGCACATTTAAAGATCTGGCGCTTTCAGCATTCTGAAGGGAGACTTCATCAAAGAAATACGTTTTTTTATTGCTAGTGGGGTGAGACTAAGTCCCTTGTACTGCGGCCACTTCTGGCCTATTGTACCAGCCCAAGATGATAGGCGAGGGTGATTTTGGAATGAAGATTGGCAGGGGAAACCGAAGTACTCAGAGAAAACCTGCCGCAGCGCCACTTTGTCCACCACAAATCCCACTTGACCAAACCCAGGATCGAACCCTGGCCACCGCAGTGGGAAGCCAGTGCCTAACCGCTATGGCGCGGCCCAAGGAAATACATTAGTACATACAAAGTGTCGAATAACCACTGCATTTAGAAGCAACCTCTTACATAGCATACGTAGTATGAGATGGTTTGATGTTAACTTCATACATTACCAGAATGTAACAGATAATGGGCAGACTTTTTATTTTTTTGTAAAGAATGGTTCCTAATAAGTGGTTTGGGTAATGCTGGAGATGCTGAGAACAGTGACTTATTCTTCACTTTTTTGTGTTTCTTCATGATAACCACTTCAGAAGAGAACAGACACTCCCATGTCCACATTTTTTTTAAACCCGAGGGCAGTATTTAGGGATAGTGAACTAGAAGTTAGAAAATCGATTTGAAGATTATGTATTTTAGCCTTTTCTGAATATACTGAGTTCCCATTAGAATGAAGATCTTTACAAATTCTGTATCAGTACTCATTATATTAAGGTTGCACTCTGTGTTTATGTGTGTGCATATGCACGCACATGTACTTGCACTGTGTGAGAATTTTGAGCATACACTCTCAATCTGTGAAAGAAAGAAAATCTGATGGCTTGTAAGATAATTTTGTTAACGTCATTCAGAAGTGCCATGTTTATCAGACTATAAGACACTCTTAGAAATGAGAAGAAAAGTTTTTCAACACTTGCTGTTTAGTTCTGCATTGGTGAAGTTCAGCCATTGTTCAGTGATGGTGACTGAGTGGTAGGTTTGGAGCAAAGGAAGGGAATCCAGGCTTTACTTATCCTTTATCTGTCTTTGTGGTTGGATTTATCTCCATAAGTCCCATAACTTCACCTGTGGAGACAAACAGTCTAAGTATAACCAAGCTAATGTTTTCCCTCCAAACCTATTACTCAGTCATCTTCATCAGAGAACAGCTGAACTCCACCTGTATAGACCGAAACAGTGGCCACTGAAAACGTTTGTCACTGCCTTTCATATCTACATGTTCACCAACCAATCTTTTTATCACTCTTTTCCTTTTCTTGTGTCACTAAAAACTTGTTCAGCATATCATATGGTTGATAAAATCTTTTTCACCACCTCTTCTTTCTGCCATGTGGTTGCTGCAGTCACTTCCATCACCTCTTGTCCTAAACTTAGGACCACACTGAAGCACCCCAGTCCTATTTTTGTCTGATCATACCTTTACATCATGTTTAGTGCCCACTGTGAGGCAAAGCTGAAAGGCATACAACAACCTCCCCAAGACATTAACTGAGAAGGTACCAGCTATAATACAGTAGTTATCAAAACATTGGAAAACCTTCAGCATTCAACATGGCTAATTTCTGAAAACTGGAATCACTGAATAAGTCTTGGAAGGAGACAGTTAAAGTAAAAGGAAAATCATGTTGTGCCAGGATATTACATATAAATAAATAGACAAAGTAAATTGGAATTAGTGTTTATACCGTCTGTTTAACACAGATTATGTGCATTTTATGCAGTCTGTAGTTTGGGATGCAGATATGTAATTTTCACAAATCACCAGTCACATTGGAGTGATGAAGTTAATTTTTGGCTGCATTCTCTTAATGGTGACTCTTCATGTTGCAAAATGTCTGCTGTCTGTAACTACACGTAGTTGTTAATGACTGCAGCAGTTAGTACAGCACTGTCGAAGAATCTGGCTCACATTCTTATATGAGCCTTGCATTTCAGGTGTTCAGTTGTTTGATTGTTGCCATTGCTTAGCTTGTGTGACTGTCATGTTAGAATGTTGGCAGCATCTCACATGTTAATTGATGTTCCTTGTATATGTCATCTTTATTCTGCACATATTGTTTTTCCCCCGCCTCTTTTCAAGTTTTTCTGTTAATTTTTTTTCCTCTGTGCTGTGTGTGGCTTTTTGAAGATGTTTTATCAGTTCATTTTTTGTTTTAGTTTGAGATGTGTTATTGTTAGAGTGGAGCTGTTTCATCTCAAGTTTCAGTATGGACATCATAATTTATATTATTTTGCAACTGTTCAGATATTAGATTATTTTTAAACAAATTTACTTGGTAAAAATACAGACTGTAAAAAATATTCAGTAGTTTGAGATTACTACATTCAATATTCATTTATTTAATGGTGTTATTATGTCTTGTTACTTCCAGAACTGATTAAAGTATGAACATTTAAGATTGAAGAGACTATTTCTTTCATTTCTTTCCTAGTATAATCATGAAAGAATGATAATGAATCCTTGAAAATCAATCATTTGCTATCTTTATCAAGGAAGCATCTGAATTATTGAAAGCTTAGATGTGTGTGACTCAAATAAGATTGGAAACCAAAGCCAGTCCAGAATGTTAATATTGAACATTTGGATGCATTGGGTACAGATGGATCTCCCCGGCGGGGTTCTGGCCCACCCGGAGCATCAGCTCTGCGTTCTAACAGTGCCATCGACCTGCAGGCAGCTCAACGGGCTAAAGCACGAGCTCAATATGCTGCCCTGGCCAGACACAAAGTGGGGTCTGGTGCTTCCCTACGTAAGTTGTAGACCATCCCTCCTGTAGCTTAGCTGCCACCAGCAGTCACTTCAGCTCAGGGACATATGCATACAGATCTGCATCGTATAACATGTTATTTGGCTTAAGTCCTCAACATGTTCACTGCTGCATTCAGCCAGTAGTTGGATAATGTTTATATATTAATCTTGCCAGGTACAATTGTAAAGTGTTGGTTAATATTACAATGTGTGATGCCATGACTTTACCGCAAATACATACAGCTGCCAATGATCCATTCCACTGGTTAATCTTTTGTTTGGATATCCCAAATTTCTTCATCTGTGTCTTTATTTTAATGCATTTTTAGCTACCCTGTTGATGACAGTTTGTTTTACATGCTTTATCCATTCATATTAGTAGTATTCTGTTCTGTCATTTCATAAGAACATTTGTGAGTTTGTCCTCACTTCTATATTAGAAATTCTACAAAATTATATGCAGTCTTCCATTATATTTCATTATATTTGAAATCTTCATGTTGGCAGACTGAATCTTGCTCACGTCCCAGTTTTTTTGCTCTTAGAAAAGTATAGACTCTGTAAAATTTTTATTTTGTCATTTTTTATATTATCTCTAAATTTTCTCTAATAAAGGTTCCGTAGATGGAATGGAACTAAGTCGTTTTCCATGCATGTCATATTCACTTCTTAAATATTTAAATGAAAACCCCATTGTATAAAATTGTCATGAATTATTGTTTTCGTGATGTGGGATTTCGTGTAAAGTTGCAGTTGAAGAAATTCTGTATAGCTTATGTTACATTTTATGAATATCAATTGCGTAACTTACTGGGTGAAATTACCTGCTAAATGAATGATAGAAGTATTTTATTTGAACTAGGAGGATGAACATTTTGAATGAGGAGCCTTCAGTGGCTCCCATTAAATTATTCAGATGAACCTGTTATTCACTGAACATGTTAAGTTTCCAGTTACCCATTATATTTAATAAAATTATGCAGATGGAACTTTTGGAATTTTGTATATTGTATTGAAAATAATGACCGAATGCCAAACGCATGGTTGGTTAGAAATGCAGAAAGATTGCAGTTGCAGGAAGTTAAGCAAAACCAGTGAGACTGATTGGTATGCATCATCATCTTTTGCTGACAGCTCTGTGTTGAATGCTACACAGTCTTGACACTGAGGGTGTCATTAATTAACTAACTTAAAGAAATACAGCTTCTCCCTCTTCCTCTCTGTTTTCCATGGCAGTCTTCCTTCAGTTCCTGTAAAGCAGGGAACAAAGTGACATCCATTTTAACAGTACTTTATGCTATGTTTCTTTTTTAATGCTGCTTGCGATTAGGAGATGAAAACAATGTTGGTAAGTTTTTGCATGAAATTCAAAGCTAAATAGTTGGATTTTAAATTCTGCCGATGGTGGCTATGAAGAGTACAGTCTTCTGAAGTTTTGTGAACTGTGTGGTATTGCAATGCAGAAAGCCATTTTTGCATGTGACAGTGTCTATATCTTTTGTTCATGTAATATAGTAAGACAGGGGCACGCGGTAGCATAGTGCCACTATGCTACAAGTCGGAAGGTCGCGGGTTCAAATACCGATGAGGTCATCGGGTTTTTTTTTCAGTTGACCTAATCATTCCAGCAGCACTATGGCCCTGGGGTTCACTCAGCCTCTAACAGAAATGAGTACCAGGAATTAAATAAATAATTTTCCTGGGTAGTAAAGGGCAGCCAGTGCGTAAGGCCGACAACCTTACCGCCATCTTTGAGCCGATTGTCTAGATAATATAGGACCCTCAACGTCTCACAACCCTATGGACCTTCATGGCCTGTTACAGGGATAGCTTTACTTTACTTTACTTTTTAATATAGTAAGATAACAAAGTGGAAGAACTGGGGAAATAATATTTTGGTTGTAGCTGTGTTACAGCACTGATATAAAAATAATTTCATTATTTGAATGATAGTTGTCACTTGAATTGAAGGAATTCAGCTATTCTTCTGTTACATTACAAACTGTGTCAGGTCGTTTGAACAAGTGTAAAAATGATAAATCTTGTACACTCTTACTCTACCATATGATAAATCTCTTTTATAAATTTAAAATCTTATTGTAAGATATTTTCATTTGTACAGTTTCGACTTTTTGAACTGAAAGCATGTCATCATTGTTGAATAGATGTTTTTCTGAAATGGCAAAACTTCAGAGCAATGATCAGAAAGTTATATCTGAGTAGATTCTCAGTTGTGCAGTAATTTCTTGATTTAAGTGAAGACGTGTTCCTGGGAAACTTCATATAAACTAGAAACATAAAAATTATTTTCCATAAGAAATGAAGTAAGAAAGGAGACTGTGTACTTGGCCCAAGCCAACCTAGAAGGTTATAGATATTTAGTCATATAAAATGTTTGCGAAGTTTATTATTTAATTTTAGATTCTGTATCATTACTACAGACCACTGTGTACTCAAACACTTAGCTATATTATGCACAGCTCATTTTTTCTTCAGTAGCATGAAATCATCCACCATATTGCCTGTTGCTGATCACGTGATCACATAAAATGTGAAATAAATAATGAAAATTAAGAAGTTTCCTGATGCTGTTCACATAATGGCTTGAAAGTGAGAACTAAGACAAAGTAAAATAAAAAGCAGTGTATGTTCTTCAGTGGTGTTAAACCAAAATTGCATATATCAGAGACTAATAAATCAAGAAATGAGTGTATTCTAGAATGTCAGTATTGCCCTAAAGAATTTTATATAATTATTGTTTCAATATTACTATGTAGAGATCACAGAGATAAGAATCTGCATCTAGAAACATTTATTGTTGCAAAGAGATGTTTCTCTGTTTAAGCAGACTTAATTTGTATTGCAGTTATTTTTACTATTGTAATGTTAAATGTAGTTGAAGATATGGAGTTCTGTATATGTTTATCTACTATAGTCAGCTGAGCATATTTTCTTTAGAGTGAATGCTATTCCATTGGCAGTGGCAAATATTAGTTCAATTCAATTTATTTCAAATTCAAAAATACATCCAGATACAGGCTGGGAAACAACCATTGGATATAGAATGAGTCACAGATCAAAAAACAAACATTCCATTCCCACAGGAACAAGTCAGGGCATTCATAATATAAAACAAAATAAAAAAGAACATATCAGCCATATATACAACAAAACTCCCCCGGTATAGAACTCTCAGAGGTTTCAGGCATCAGTACAAGCTCTTTTTTCATTTTCATTACTCATCTATTATTTCCATAAAATCCAACACTTTAGGATGTGGAAAAGTCATATCAGATAAATAAGTAGCACAAAGAACTAAGTCAAGACATAAGAACAGAACCAGAATACAATTAATCTTACCAACTAGTATATACAAAAAATTCATCCACAGTATAAAATGGGTGACGTCAAGGCATTCATAATATAAAACAAATAAAAAAAAAAGAACAAATCAGCTATATATACAACAAAAACTCCCCGGTTTACAAAAACAACGCCGAACCAAGACATCTTATTATAGCCCTGCATATGAACAACTTGAGATTCAGCTGATGACTAGTGCAGAGGTTTTACTTTTGATGCTGTGTTGAGCGAGATAGAACAGAGAGGAATATAAAATTATAGTAAATTCATCAAATACAGTTCATTCAAAGTATATTATAATAATGTGATTGAATACATTGCAGCATGTGTAACATGCTTCAAACCTTCATCAAGATCTTCCATCACATACAGAACAAGCTGTTGATTTACATATTATCTCAAATTGTTTAAGCTGCACATACCGAATAAAATATCTGTTTGTGCTCCTGTTATTTGTAAAGCATCGCAGATCCTCCTTTCATATCTTATTCTGTTATGATGGTCAAATTTGAAAATTTGCTAATATATTTTACATTTCTGTTTGTTCTCTGTGTTAATTTGTGTTACAATTTGTTAATAATATATAATTATGTAATTGGTGAACTTAAATCTTTCATGGTCACAGTATCATTTTACATTGTATACTGAACTGACTTTAGTAGAAATCTCTCAGCCTTCCTCTTACACAAACACACACACACACACACACAGGCATGCAGGAAGACACAGGTACACAAAGATACACAGAGGTGTGTTCGCACGTGCATACACGCACACAGATATAGTGATATATAGTGTTAAGATATATTGTGAAAAGCAATTTCAAGATCATGCATGAAAGGACACTGTCACCTTGACATCAGATATGTACACAACTGTCATGTTTCTAAAATTAATGGCTGGGATTTATAGATCATGCAGCTTATGTGGCATGAGATGTTTATGACATTCATGTCAATGATGAGAGTTTGTCACTTCTCTCATTATTTGCACATGACATTGTGAACCAGTATAAAAAATGTTGTCTCCTATTACTTCAGTATGTAAGCTGAGTAAAATAGGATCATCGCTATCCAGAGGAAAGTTATGATGAAACCTTAACATAATGTCACGTATTGGGTATATGTCACGCCACAAGTAACTTCACACCTTACTTGATATAGCGAATTTATTGAACATTTGCTCCACACTTATACAATTCACAGTTATACAATCTTAATCTTATACAATTCACTGTCGCAGTTTCTGTTCAACTACATCTCGACAAATCCATTCAACTGTCTCTGGCGGTGGCTATATTTCAACTGCTCGTAACTCGTAACTGGCTCAATACTCACTACTGAATAGTGTTCGCTGCTCCTTATTTAGCCTTGGCACGGACAACACAGAAAACAGTTACGTGATAACTTTCACTGTTGTGTGACGTCGTGTTTACCGATTGCGTAGCAACAGTTGCTGCACGGGCTCCCCTGTTGCGTGATGCCGTGTTTACAAAGGCATTATTGGGCAACGCTGTCGAGAGTTGTTTATTGCTGCATAGCAACCGCGGTTTCCCCTGTTACGTCATCGCAGGGGAGGGGGTGTTTAACGAGCGTTGTGGCCACATCACAATAATGTATTTTGCCCTGGAAATATTAAGTATATACTATAACTGGCATAAAATTAATTTGCTCATAATTAATACTAGAGTGTTGAGCTTATTGGTGATTTCTAAGTCACGAGCATCACTATGAGGAGCAAGGATTAAGTGATTTCTTTGTCATGTTCAGGTCACATGATGATCAGAACTTTGTTTGAGAGGCCAAACCATAGTTGGACCTCCAAAAACTAAATTCTTAAAATGAAACTTTGCATTAACTTTCTTATCCAAATAATTGAATTTTAAGCTTTTAATATTAGTAAGTCTTCATTTATGATAGTTGGATGCTATATACAGTTTTAGGTAGGTATCAGCATTTCAGATGATTCTTCTGCCCCCATCTTCAGCTGAGGCCAAACATGGAGACAGCAGGATCTTCCAAAATGCTTGCTGCCTAACCCTGAAGATAGAGGCAGCAACTTTCTCTGAAACATTGATATCCACTTACAAGACAACGTAATATCATGACCAAGAAGGCAGTAATCTAATGTTTTACCACTTACCATGACAATCATCTCTGTCTTGTCTACATTTCTGAGTTGTGCGTTTACAAGCTCTGTTCAGTGTTGAAGCATGTGTTCATGGCCCTCGATTTGTGAATTGTGTGCATCATTTTGGTTACCTTATTTCAGCTCGTCCTAAGAAGTCAACAGAAGCAAGTGGGGGAATGTCAGTTAGTGCCATCACCTCACCAGAGAGAGTCGGCCGCACAAGAAGTCGGGTGGCAGGCGTATCTCAGTCACAGCGTAAGTTGTGTATTTTAGTGGATGTGTCATGCCAGCAGCCTGGCCTGAAAATGTTGTGCATGTAGAATACAGGTAGTACTGCAGACTCATCCTGTCATACATTTTGTAATCTTCAGCGCTCATTTTATGTGGAATCTGCCACGCGCATATATAGTCTGCTGTCAATGTTATCACATTTCTAGGATGCCATAACAGCATAGCTTTCAGAATGATTGCTTTGGACTTAAAGCACTCTTTCTTATTGCTCTGAAAATGCAGTGTGGTTTTCAGTTGTTTTAAGGGCAGTTTACAGTTTGTCTTGTTTGCTTATGAACTTTTCGCAGTAAAGTGCTTATATGATCTGCCTTCAAATTACGAGGGTTGTACTGAAAGCACGAGCAACAATTTTTTGTAAAGTAACATGCTTTATTATTGACAAACCAAATACACCACCTCAATCTACAGACCTTTCTTTATTTTTCCACATAATCACCACTTCTTTGTACACATTTCTCCCAGCATTCTGGGAGTTTGAAAATTCCCCTTCTGTAAAATTCCGTTCCAGCCATCCGAAGACACTGACGCACTGCTTTCTGAATTGCCACCCTTGTCTCAAACGTCCACGCAGCCGATCCTTCAAATCCCTTAGAATTTAACAATTATCTCGTCTATGGCCAAATGTTCGGAAGGGTTATAATATTTTCCATATGCGTCATTGAGAGTGTCAAAGATGGTCCGAATTTTCCATAGTCGGTCGTAACTGTCGGCATTCCTGTCAGTTTCTGTATTGTTGTATGCAAAATGAAGAAAACACGTTTCATTGTGTTAGAGTAGAAAGGCATGGCAAATTGTTCTACAGTCGACCAGTAGTCCTTTAGTCTGTCTCTAATGTCATGTCCCATTTGAATGATGATTCCTAGAAACAGAAACCTCTCAGAATCGATCACTTCAGGCCTCGGAGAACGTCCGTCTTGAAGTCTGTCTAGGTACTGGTGATAGTACCTGTTTGTCTCTTCCACCAGCAGACAGATAATCCCTGCGAAGTAGAGCATGAAAACGCAGAAAGGGATGGAATCCTTATGTACGTGTGGAGCTTCATTGATATTTAACCCCACAGCTCCACCAGAATAATTATTCACACCCCTCCTGCCTCCTGTCTGGTGGTCCCCAGGTTGCCAACAAAGATGATGGGTCTTTGTTGACTTCGGTTTCTGAGCCCCTTGCTTCCTCGCCACTCTCAGAGTCGTCTGTACAGCAGTCTGAATTGGTGTCATTTATCAGCTGCCTCTCAATTTTGGCTTCTTCCATGCAAAATGAGGCCATGGTGGATATTTGAAATTGCGGTGTTTTATAAGCGTTACAAAAATAACACGCTAGGCTTGAACATTCTGGCAATGCGGGGCTATTCCGAGAACAGTACCTCTGTGTGGCTAGTCCGAGATATACACAGTCAGAGTTTCTGAAGGACAAAGTACGATAAGACTGTGACCACACTCGTGCATACAGAAAGGTTCTGGCATGACTGGAGAATGTGTAATACAAACATAAACTTCCACCCCTTTTGCCAGATAAGACATAGTAAGACAGGATGTCAGCAACATGCATTTATACTGCAGAAAAGTTTTGTGCAGAAACTGTACGCATATTTGTGGACAGACGCTCAAAATTGCGAAAAAAAAAAAATTCTTTTTGGAATCAGTGTAACAATTTTTACAGATTTTAAAGTCTGTAAATTACAATATCTGATTCTATATTCTTTCTAGATAAGGGCAGCGTTTATTTTGTTTGTCACAAAAATTGTAGAAATCACAGCATTTTCAGTAACATGCTTACAATTTTTAATACTCTACAATGGAGGACATTTAAATTAACTCCGGCCTGCTGCCTTTACCGGAATTTAAATGGCCCATCTCTTAACGGTTAATATTACGGAACAAACTTCGGAAACAAATATACCTGATTTTAATAGTACATGACAGCAGCAAGCAAATATCTGATGATTCATTCAGAGAAGTTTTATTTAATCAAGAGCTGTTGCTCGTATGAAACAATGCCTTTCTGTCTATCATTACAGGTGATTCTCATTATATTTGCTTTGGTTATCCATGCTTTCTCACATGCACAGTTCTATTTTGATGTCTTGAGGAGCATCAATGCCCTGCTGCTATGCATGCCCATTGAGTTGTGTGGGTAGTTTCTGTGACTCACCCCACTGCTTTGGCTCAGTCATGTTGTCCCCTACTCCTTCTCCACCATGCTGTGTATTTGTTCAGAGCATTTACAGTTTTACATTTCATCAATATGTGTGATGATTTTCAGGAATGCAGTCCCTGCTTATAATGAGAGTCACATATACTTTCATTTTCCCTGTAGAAAGGCAGTGCGTTTATAGGAGCATTGTTCAGCAAATAGATGTTTGATGAAGCACTCTTGTAACAAAAACTTGTATTACAGCAAGCAGCAGATCAGGATCTCCTTCATCACGACTGAGCTATGCAACGTACTCTGCCTCCAACAGGGATGGGGGTGGAGTAGATGGAGTGCATACTGTAGGCCGACCACGCAGGTTGTCTTCAGGAATTCCCCGCTCAACAGGCACAAGTCGTGAGGCCAGCAGAGAGACGAGTCCCAATCGTTTTGGCCTAACTGGCATACATGATCGGTCATTTGGTTGCAAGCTCAGGTGAGGACTTGATATATTCAAGTGTCTGCAACCACTGTTAGAATCTTTAGAATTGCAACATTTTACTGCAGATGTGTTTCTTAGAAATTGTATTTGGGATGAAGGGGGAAGCACCTTATTCAACCCACCTGTTATAGGAAGTGTATCCAGTGATAATGGTGCAGTACTCCCTGGAATGTAATGAAGTATGCTATGAAGCGCATGCCACCAGAACGAGAATGGGGTCTTACTCATTCATTTTAAATACAGGGTCTGGGCTTATTGGTAACTTTGTTAACACAGGGGGCGGCCAGGCCATAACATGAGCACAGAACGACCACCCCAGCGTCCTGTCATGGCACAGAAAATTCTGCAACAGAGTAGGGAAGCAGAGTCAGCCCTGGCCGATGCACTGGTAAGTCTTGATATTCAGAAATATCTTTACAGTTTTTAAATTTGTAGAAACTGAAATTAACCTTGATGAGGCTTAAATTGTTAAGCTGAATATTGAACATATCAAGTATTCCATCCACAGTGCTTTGTGAAGTTATCATAGTTAAGTTCATATTCCATTTTGGGAAATCCTGGGAACATGGACGTTTTCTTCATAATACTTGAAAGTACTTTCCTCTTATTGGTTAGGAAGATAGCTCTTTCCATGGGAGAAAATGACAAGAGAATGGTCTTTCACTTTCAGCTGGTGCTGAAGTTAAGAATCCATGGAGCTTGACCTCTGTCTTGCTGATGTGTGTTCATGGTTTGGTGATTAGGCACAAAGCACTTTTAAATTATACTGAAGTGGCAGCTAATTTATCAAGGAAAGGAAGATAACTTTTATTTGTATAAGGAAAATGATTTGAAACAGGAAATTGAAGCATTCCTTGCTGAACTGTAGAATGTTTACTTCCATGCCCAACATGAATGGTTTCTGTTTCTTTTCATTAGAGACACTCATTTTATTTACAAAATTGTACAGTGTAACCATTATACAGCTACTCAGAATTACTGGGTTTTCAGACTTTGTCCATCGTCCAATATTCTAAAAGCTAGAAGACACAACATACCAGAAATTTGATCTGTTTCTGCATCAAGTGAGGTGGGGAGACACCTACTCTGTTGGGTCCCTTAGAAAGAGCTAACCTCAGTCACTGGATCGTGTCTCAGGAAATAAGTCCACATCCAAATTATGAATATTGTGTGTGTGAATAGAGAATTTAATCAGTCTTGAAGCAGAAGTACTTGATGTACATGCACAGAGGCCTTCTGATACATGGCAGATAAAAACCGGTCAGCCCCTGAATATGTCAGACAGTTGTATTACAGGATCATGTTTTAGGATTCCATTTAGGATGATTTCATGGCTTATGGCCCCTTCAGATATTAGTCAGTGTGAAATCATCTGAACTTCTCTTTAATGAAGTGGTTGGTTTCATCATGTATTGTGTCTGGGAGTTGGAAATTTTCTGATATGCTGCATGTCATTGAAGTTAAAAAGTGTTCATCCCTAGTTATGGCAACAGAACAGAGGTGCCTAGTGCTGAATGTCAGATTGAAGTAATATATCTGTTTGAAGTCGGTAGTTTACGAAAGAGCAAAATAGGAATTTGATGTGGATTAACTTCCTCAACAGTGTTCACACATTTTGAAGAACAGCAACAGTGTATGGTCAGATGTTCTACATGATGGACGACCAATCACAGACACAGATGTGCACCACAGAGAATGAGGATTTGGAATCTGCACTGTTCGAGTGGTTTTGCCAGGAAAGATTGGCTGTCATACTGTTTGATGGCTCAGTGATCAAGGACAAAGCTAACCATTTTCATGGCACACTTGTAGATTAAATACTTAATTGTTTCTGAAGGGAAGTTTTACCATTTCAAAGTTAAAGAATACATTAGTATGCAGAAAGCTTGAAGAAACTCTGCTTAGTTCACTGATCTGTGAAATTAGTGTTCACATGAGCATAATCAGCAAATAATTTTTGGAATCTTTACATATAAAGGTCGGATCCTGATAAGTGGGCGGTTGTGAATACAGTAGATTATCAAAATGTGAGAAAGTCTAATTTATCAGCTCTGATAATGCTAAAGGCATTGAGAATGTTAATTCTCCTTTTTATTTTCATATTTCCATGATTAAATTGAATAAATACTGCCATACCTTTGACTTAAAAGAAAAATTCGAGTCTCATTTTCTCACATTGAGCAATAAATTGAGATTGCATAAAGCATTGCTGAGGCCTGTACTGATGTATGAGAGCGAGTTGGACGTGAAGTAGCAATAACGAGGGGAGCTTGAGAGATAGATATTTGGCTCAGAGTGTGAGAATGGATTCTGGCATGTAAGATATAACAGTGAGTTGTATGAACTATTTTCTGAACCAGATATTGTTAAAACCATAAAAATTTCAAGTTTATGACGGGAAGACTCTGCTGTCTGAATACTGGATGATAATCCTATTAAAAAAGCTCACCCTCCTTAAACCAGATTGGTGTAGACGAGTTGGAAGACCAAAACTGATATGGATGGATGGATCTCTTGAATAGAGAACGATCTTAAGAGACGTATTATGAGAGGATGGAAACAAAGAGCATTGGACAGGAGGCAATGGAAAAGTGTCTTGGAAGCCATCAGGGCCCAAACTTGGCTCTAAAGCCATTAGTAATAGTAGTAAATATTGTCGTACTTGAATTCTTTTAGGCAGCATCATGTTGTTTTTATACTTGATTGTAGTTGTACTGTAGGTGACAGACTTGAAGATTATGTCTTTCAGCCATTTTCAAATGTTACAAAAAACATTAAAATGAGGATTTTTACAAACTTTATAAGTTATCATATCAAGGTTGTTTTGTGTTTTAAATGCAACACATGTTTGTAAGAAACAGTGATATTTGTTTATTTATTTATTCATTCTTTTATTCATTCATTCATTCATTACAGAGCTTTGACACGATTGACACTGGAGATTTTGGACGTAATGTTCCTAACAGCAGGAAATCGTATCGTCCATTTGATGACCATTCTGATGACAGTGAGACGTCTAGTGTTTGTTCTGAGCGTTCATTTGATTCATACAGAAGGACATCTGATGTGAGTACAGTATATTGCTTGTATGTTGATAACATGGTAGTGCAGTTGTTCAGATGTCACGCTGTGCAGTGCTATCTTTGACTTGATTGACTTGTACTATTGTATAAGTTATTATGGAATGAACAGGAAATAACTGTAGTATATATGAAAATACTGTTATGACATCTTTGTATAGGGAATGAGGGCTACTATATATTACCTCAGTTGAAATAGTCAGTCTTGGAGCCTGCATTCAGACCAGTACTATCCTCACTGCTCATTAACATTTGGCTTCAATCCTGTCAGCTGTAATGTCCATTGAACAATTTAAGAATCTGAGTTAATTAATTTAAATTAGGTTTATTTCATTGTATATTAACATATTGATAAAAGTAGGTGTTTGTAAAGTGGAGGTGAAGAAAGATAACAAGTAATGTGTGTCTTCGTACCTTCTCAGTTTCCATTTTGAATATTACAATATCTTTTGCAGCTATAATTTTTCTCTTGTTACAAGAAATGTCTGTCAGTGAGAGGCCTGTAAATGTTACATTTTCTCAAGGTTTGGGTCATATTATCCTGTGAAAATAATTTATATTGGAACATGTTTATGTGCTCAAAATATGAAGAAGATTGCACTGCACATGTTGTATCTCTTGTGGCTTTAGTAGAATTTCGTTGCAGAGGCTTTCGTTGAGTTGAACAGTAATAATTCTTGTGCATGGACTAGTGGGAGTGGGATTGCCTGTAGGAACTTCAGTAAAAGCTTATTCAGTTTACAGTAATGACTAGGATATTACATAAATTCATTTCATATCCTGCCCATAATGCAATACTGCATAATTTCCATTCTGAGTATGTTGTTGTTCGTTCCTACCTTTATTGTTTTGTAAGGGTCCATATAGTTTTCTCAGTTTATTCTGGTGCTGGTGAGAGTTGCCAAAATGAAAGAAAGTATCTTTCAGTTTAGTTTCATGCTTCACGTAAATCATAGTTATTTTTTATTTTTTGTATTCACCATGTAGGATATTGGGTTCTCACAGCAGTGGTTATGAAGGGTTCTATCTTCTGGGATATAGTGTTGTAACAGTCCATTGATAGTCAATTGGCGTTTCAGAGGAAAGTTTTTCCTCCATCTTTAAGGTCAAAGATTAAGCCAAGCAAGAAACTAGCATGAAACAGCGGTTAACTTTCAGTGGATTACACAGGGTTATAGTCCCGAAGGTAGAGCTCAGTATTCCCCATGTCTGAGGAAGTGTTCTCTTGCAAGAAAATACAAATCAAGTGTTTCATGTTATTGCTGTTAGAGGAATCGCACAAGTCTCTCCTGCAAATTAATTCAAATATTAACAGATGTTTTCTCACAAATGATGTATGATGTGAAAGGCATGTAAGATTGCTGAACTGTGTAAATTTTGGCAGACTTTTCACCAGAATCCATTAAATGGCCAGCCTTGCAGGGGGGTATAGTACTCTTCATATCCAGTATGAATCAAAATTAAATTTTGTTAGTGAAGTTTATCACAGACTGTGAAGGTTGGTGTTTTTCACAGGCACATGCAAATACTTGGCATGTTTGTTTTCTAAATTTTAACTTTATATATTAAATAATATGCCAGTAGTTGTAAAGTTTTCTGTTCATAATTACTTTCTACTTAAAACAGAACTTAACATACAATTTGTTATCAGTTTGTTTGAATATAATATATATCAAACATTCTTTCTACATTCACTTTTAATAAAATTTCTACCATGTTGAGTGTGATCTGCAGTCAACCCTTGAAGCTACGTTGAAGTAAGTCATGATAATTTTGTGGTGTATTTGATCAAAGAATTGTTGTTGATGAGGTCTTATTGTAATAATGTTGGTAATGGAGAGCAAAAAACATGTTCTGCTCAGCTCTTGCATGAGTTATGTCATGTAACAAATCATATACAGGCTATCTCATTCTCTCTCTTATTTTGTTGGACATATTGAATGCTGCTGTATTGTGTTTTGATTTGCCTCATTTGTGGTGGAGTGCATTTTCTTCTTTTCTTGTGGCTGGGCTGGAATCGTGAGAGTATTTCTTGGTGCAGGGATCACTATAGAGTTATAGTTTCATTACAGAAAACCTCAGTTACCTGTCCTTGCGTACTTTGTCATCATCCTATCATCTACAACTGACACAAGGAAGAGGATTTTTAACTTCCTGTATAGGACATTGTTTCCTCATACACTGGACACAAATAGTGCACCATATAATTGAAGTCAAACAAAAGATTTTCAGGAAGCTGTCTTCTGGGATGTGGCACTGTGTAGATATTGTGTTAACCGATGTTTTGGAGAAACGCATTGCCTCAGTTTTCAGGGTAAAAAAAAAGAAGAAGAAGAAGAAAATCTGCGAGCGTGGAACCAGTGTGAGCAGGCGCTGACAGACCAATGTCAAGTCGAATAAACCCAGCTCTATAAGAGCAGGAAGAGAAGGGAGAGGGGCTACATGGGAAATCAGTAGAGAGGAGAGGGGAAGGGTCTGTGGAGATGGACCTGCAGGTAGTCGGCCAGGGCAGGTATAGAATATTGTGTCGAGGGGAGAAAAGCAAGGATTTTCTTCTTTTTTCTTCTACCCTGAAGATGAAGGAGATACATTCCTCCGAAACGTCAGTTAACACAATATCTACATGGCGCTACATCCCAGATGACAGCTTTCTTCATAGTCACTGCCGTGAAAACACGAAATCTTACAAAAGATTTTCACTTCTGTAATTTTCCACATCAATTCCACCATGTAAGATTATACCTCGCCGTAGACTTCAGCATATATGTACTAGTTTACTGTCAGCATATGATCTGTTTCTTACACAAAACAGTACATTTTTATTGCATTTTCCTCACATTAAAGGTTTTAATTTTTTGCAGTACAGAATGACTGCATCTTCTTTGCCAGTTCATCATCATTTTCTTTGATCTACCACCCATGAAGTTAATGCTAATAATGATACAAAAGAACCACGTTTTCCTGAATACCCCACACAGTGCTATAAGCTATGTACCCTAGTTCATAAGTCCCTACGAGGTGGATTTTTTTAAGTGACCTAATCCTTGCAGTCACACTATGGCCCTGGGGTCGAGTCACCCTCTAACAGAATGAGTACCAGGAATCTTCCTGGGGGGTAAAGGTGGCCGGGGCATAAGGCTGACAACCTTACTGCCATCTGTGAGCCGAGACTCTAGAGAAAATGCTGGAGACTGGACATCTCACAACCCTATGGCCCTTTGTGACCTGTTACAGGGATAGCTTTCTTTACCTTTACCCTAGTTTCTAAAGATGAAAAAAATAAATAATTTATCAGGATTCATTGAAGTATTTAAGTACACATGTCACATACAGTGTACATAATATATAATGTCTTGAAATTTGAAGTGACTGTCTTCATTTATTTCTGCTATAGCATTGCATTTTCCAGGATCTGACATCCTGCTACTGGGAAAACTTTTGTTTTTGTTTTTTTAACACACAGACTATTTTGTGCACCATACAATCCAAGTTCATACTGTGCATTTGAACTCCCAGTTTTCTTGCACTGTATTTGCAAAGCTTTTCTTGTATTTAATAAACTGGTGTATTTTATACCAGTAGTGTGATCTGAAATTACTCTGCCTCTTGAAGTATTTTCAGTATTTTACTAACAGTGAAAGACTTTGAATGCATCCCTGTAGCAAATCATATATGCTCTGCATCATGGATTAATAGTTTGTGGGATTGTCGAGGTTCCAATAGACAACCACTTCAGAAAGTTTGCAGGCCCTGAAAAGGGTTGTTTGTTCCTTCGTAGTAGGCCAAGTCTTATGGTCGTTCAGCTGGCCTGTCTGGCCAGTGATGTAGTGCTGCATGCACCGGTAGAAACAGTTGCCCGCAGTATAGTTGCTGGAGTTGCGGCAGCCGCATTAGTTGCCTGGTCCCAGAGCGTGGTCGCTGGAGACTTGTGGCAACTACGTCGGTTGCCTGGTCGCAGAGAAGAGCTGATGACTCTGATAACTGATCACTCTGAACTGAATGTGATCACTGACAATTGCGAGCTTTGGGCTTCGCCTTTTATACCATGCTTGATGGGCGGAGGGAACTTGCAGTTGCGATTGTGAGCGCTGATTGGCTAGCGCACATTATGATCTAAATGTGGGCTGGACAGTGAGTGCTGTATAAATATGAGTGCTGCGAGCAGTGTGATTGGTTAGCGCATGTGATTTACCGGTAGGTTGGACATCGAGTGCTGTATAAACATGAGCTTTGACTTTGAATGTGCAGCAATGTGATATTGACCTAGGAGTGAGTGTTGTCTGTTAGACTGGCGAAATAGCGTGTAAGTATGTGGGATGTTCCCACAAGTCGTTCCTGTGCTGTGGACTACATCTATATGTTGATGTGTGAAAGGAAGAGGAACTCTTGAAGGTTAAGGGCACTCTTTGAATGAATGGTGTTTCCAGCCTTGTAATGAATAATCTGCTCACAATGTAAGATTTGAGGCTTTCACGGCGGTGACTATGAAGAAAGCAGTCTTCTACCACATATACACGGTGCCAAATCCCAGAAGACTGCTTTCTTCAATCTGCTCACACATTACCAGACTCATTACAAATAAACTGCACACCATTGCCAACTTTATCACAAACAGTGACACTGTGCTATTGTCAGTTCTGTCACAAATAATCCATGCACCCAAATTTTTATTCACTTTCTTAAAAGAAAAACATATACTGGATATTTTGTGTAAGCAGGTAAACACAATGTTATGATCTCCCTCCTCCAATTTTTGCATTCCTGTAATGTAGGTATGTGTCTTATTTTGAGGGATAAGGTACTCTATCCATGTGACTTAAAAATACCCTCCTGTAGTCACATCTCACCTTCCTTTTTGTGATTTGTTATTTGATTACTGCCTTGTTTGTTTGATCATTGTTTATGTGTTGCCTTCCATCTGCCTGCCTGCCCGCCTGACCCCTACTAACATCTTCCCTGCTCGCACAACCACACAGTCATACTCCTGGAGTGGCTCCCAGCAACGTCTCTACAGGGACATGCTTGAACCAGTCAACAAGGTAAGGAATCTGCAACTTCAGCAAGTGATAGAAGTTGGAAGTTATATGTTAGGAAACAGGACTTGCTTCGGCTTATGTTTGAATTGTGGTTAGAAAATTGTGAGTTTAGTTGAGAGCAAAGCCTTTTTATCTGAAATTTTAAGTTTTATCCTGTCATGAAGCTTTTTGTATTAGTTTGATGTGCTATTAAAAGTTGTAGCATCTTATAAATTAAAATTTTCAGAATGTACTTATTTATACCATACAGTTTTATTATCAGTTCAAAGCTGAATGATTCTTTAATACCCAAAATGTGTTCTGCTGCGGTTTTCATCTACCCAAAATGGGATGCATGTGTTGTTACTTTGAGGCGTGTTATATCTGAGTAAATACTGTATGTACATAGTAATCACCTTCATACATGGGGACTGCAGTAATTCATAAGTTCAAGGCTCTATGCTTTAATAGCATGCTTCAGGGTATAAATTTTGCCTTTTATTATAGAGAATTGAACGAGTTCACCACAGTGCCAATTTTCTGCTGTTATGGAAGTAACACTTGAAAAAGAATTTAGTGTTATCTTGTGCAGTTACAGGCTGCATTCATGCCCTTAAATTGTATTGGGAAATAGAACAAAAAGTATTGCCTAGCAGTTAAAGTATATGCATGTTCCTTCCTTCTTATGGCTGTCACTCATCTTTATACACAAACAGTGAAAAGTGAAAAACTGGCACCTGCACTGAAACTTGTGAAGTTCTTGAGTGTGTGGTATCTTTCAAAACATTCTCCAGGACACATGGCTGATGGATTTGTGCATGTCTTACAGTAAAAATATGTTTCTTTCTTGTCTCCCTTGACTTTCTGATTGCTGTGCTCAATGCAGTCTTTGCGTTTCGATCCCGGGTCTGGTCAAGTGGGATTTGTGGTGGACAAAGTGGCACTGGGATGGGTTTTCTCCAATGTTTCCCCTTCCAATCTTCATTCTACCAAATTCTCCATCATCATAATCACCTGGGGTAGGCTACAATAGGCCAATCAGTGGCCGCCGTGCCGAGTGGACCCAGTTGGACTCCACCCCCCCACTAAGCAAATATCTAATATGTTGCCTTGATTTCACTCCCATCCGTGCTGACTGGCTGCAGTACAGAATGTATGAATTTGCAATGCACACTTACAGGCACCGGAAAAAAGAGTTTTCTCCACCACTTTAAGAGATTTCCAAGTGAAAGGATATGTGGTGCAGTACTGATCACTGTGATATGCAGCACTCATTTGTTTTGCATAGTCAAGTAAACACACTGGCTCTTGAATTTCTTTCTGTTGCCCCTTTTGTGATCTGTCACCACTTTTTCCATTTGTATGTGATGAAAAATAGACATCATGAACATCACTATCTAGTCTTTCCAGCCTGTTATCAGGACACTGTCATTTCTGTAGGCACAAGAACCTTCACCCTTCATTTCCTTTGCAGCCCCCCCCCCCCCCCCCCCCCCCCNCCTGTACCAACAGTAATAGCGCCTGCCATTGCATTTTCTGTTGTCCACTTCTTGGGCAAATTGAACATTTCTCATATAAGTAAAAATGTGGTAGCCTTAAATACCACACACACCAAGGACTAATCAGTCTGTCAAAGAAAGGGCTATTCTTGAAATGAACGGGTTTTCAGGTTATGTAAAATTACACACTTTGCCCGTTAAGTTTTCCGTAACATGGAATAATGCTATCAACATAACCAGTATCAGTGTCAGCTAATACGAATTATCTGATGCCTTGTTTTGTTGGCTTTTTGCCCTTGAAACCAAGTGTTGATTCATCTATTGCAATGTTTATACCTGGCACAAACAATTTCTGAAAGCGTTTTTCTGTATTTTTTATCATCCAGTGTACTACTTGGTTTGTTCTTTTGACAGTCCTATTACTTTAGTCGGTGTTGTCATTTCCCATGTGCATCATCCAAAACATCTGTAAAAAGCCATCTCTAGACATTATGTCGCAAAAAAAATGCCTTTATGTTCCCTCACTGAACCAGTAGTGTTTTTATTGGGTAATGAGATTATACAAATAATTATAATTATACTTAAAAATCCTTTTATTTCAGTAACATAGACAAGAGACAACTTGTTGCAAATGAATTTTGGTCATAGTCGAAATTTTACAATTTGTGTGTTTTGGTAATTGTATTATTCAAAAGACCATAATTGAAAAATAAACTAAAATAATCTATGGGCTCTGAATTTGGCAGAAAGTTAAATTTTGGCTCCACATTCTTAGTAAAGGTGTATTCCTTGGGTATTGTCACAAGATTCCACCCATCAACACTCACACTACTTGTGTTGCTCTCACTTTCTGACTGTTGCTGCTTGATTCTTCACTTGCAGTTTCTGCTTCAATTTCCAAATCGATCTTATCACCACTATCAATATTTACTTCATTCACCATAGCACCAATAGCTCCATTTCATTTTTCCAAGCCAAGAGGAGCTGAGTTTGTTAGAACCTGATGCAATGATGTGGACTAGTCACTTCCCATAATATATAAATGATGTTCATTCTTTTAGGAGTTCAAATGATGTCTAACATTTGGCATCAGAAGGCAGGCAGAGCATTCCTCAATTTGTTGTCACAATTTACAGCAGCCACTAGTGACATATGAACAACATATGACCTGAGAAATGAAAGAGAAAATTTATCAGTCATAAGTCAACGTCCAACTATGGAAGAATTTTCAGCATGTTAGTTGTATATTGCCATATGTCTGAAAGGGGATAAGGCAATCCACATAGAAATTTGGAAGTACCAGGTGCAGTTCCTAGTGAAGGTGGGATTAGTATTTTTCATTCGGACAAAAATAATATTTGTCAGCAAGATTGTTTCATAAAACTATTGAGATATATGAGGGAGATTAGAAAATGTTACAGTATGTTTATTTCATTAAATCCATTCAATGCTGCATACACTTAGAAGGTTGGCTTAGGTGGTAACACTGATGCCTTATATTTGGGAGATGCCCAGTTCAAATTTTGGCTTGGACCTCGATTATCTGAGTGAATCTTTTCGTGGTTTTCCTCGATCTCTTCAGGCACATTCCTGGGTAGCATCCTAAAATTAGGCCACAACTGCTCTCTGCCACATCCTTTGCAATTCATTATCACTCCATCATTCAACACGTTTCAAAAGTCAGTTCAAATTCAGCAGTCTTAATTACTGACAGGAATCTTAAATAAACTACAAATATCCATGATTTATTTTATCCGTCTTCTAGTGCATACATTCATCTATCCCCTCTTCTCACTCTCACTACATGTTTCGGCACAAATGTGCCATCTTCAGGTGCTGATCCAATCCACGACAAACTAGTTCATTGCATGCCTTGTCTATACATACTAAAATATTAAAATTGTACAGCATATTTCATTCTTACGTCGTGTTTCATTACGCGAGTCACGTCTATCATCTTCTGTTGGAGCACTCTTTCACTATCGTGTATTGTGCTCTATGTTGCGTCTCGCTCCTGTGACTGCGTGTGTTATACATTCAATTACGTCATATTCCATTTCAGCTCTCTCAATGTACATAAGAAGACGAGACGTTTTAAGTTCGTCTTGGAAAGAAAATATTATATATATTTTGCGTAATTTCTTGTCTCGGAATAGTCGGATATAACATTAATATTAGCACTGTTGCAAAACCGATAATTTGTAATATACAAAAGAAACAAATGGTAATAATAACTTTTCATACANCAAATAAACAAATGAGTTGTGCCTACAACAGTAGTTTTGCAGATATTTTCGTGAAATATTGTGGTGTGCTGCCAGAAAGCCGGAATGAATGAGATCAGAGTTGATTTCCTAGGCAATGACCAACATTCCCATGACAGAAGTTAGGAATCAGAACGCTAGAAATTCCTAACAGTCGAGTTTCCACCGTTACACATGAATTGTTTTGAAGCAGATTTTCAATAGCAGTGGGCGAGGTTAACCCTTCGAAATGGTATTCCCTATTGGGTTGGAGTGCAAGTTATAAGAGTCCAACTGCGACAAGGGAAAAGTTCAATTTGTATTTGACCTTAGAAGAGTAGGGTTGGTATTTGGCGAGAGAGAGGAAGAGTTCTCATCTGACTAGAGCAGAAGACAACTACGCTGAGAATAGTGGTGCGAGAGTGCCGTACCATTGAAGAGGAAACGTCTGAAGACGTTATAAATTGTGAATAACTGTAAGTGTAAAAGTGACTGTCCAATAAATATTCGTTCAAATTCGAAACCCACACACGGCAATATGTTACATATGGGTTTGAGAGGATTGTAGTTTGTAGTTTCTGTCAAAGTTGAGAGGCAGTAGTTAGCTAGTAGAACATTGTGTTCCTGTCACCCTTTAGCTTTTCTGAGATGTAATGACACTTTTAATAGTGCAGTTTGCTTGCCTGATGTGTTTTGTTTTTCACTTGATCTGCAACGACTCTTTGAATTTGGTGAACTGAAGTTGTAACGTTGTGTGTCTATATGTTCAGGACATTACTGATATCATTGGAAACTGCGCCAGCACACACTGGACAGACCGGAAAGAGGGACTGGTTGGCCTGCAGAATTACTTCCAGAATGGGAATGCTCTCACAGGGTCAGAATTGAAGCGGGTCACTGACATTTTTACCAAGATGTTCATGGACTCTCACACAAAGGTGAGTCACATATTCAATTTTAGTGAAGTGTATCAAAAATTGATAATATTTAATGGGTATATTGATTTTTGATACTCCATATGTGCTGAATCAGTAGCAGTTCATCAGATAAATGAATGTTGAGTGTAAATATGCTTTTCTAAGCCCATACAGATTCAAATTTGTAAAAATGTGACATTAAATGTGATGAACAGCCCACGTGGTATGTAAACCAGAAGTTATTTGCAGAAATACTGATTCTGGAGGGGGTTGTTTAAACTCAGATTTCTTAATTTTCACTTATAAATAATGACTTATATTGTTAAAAGTTGTAAGTTCCATGAAAATAACATGTACTTTCGAATGTTGATAGCAGTGTTATGTTGTTTACCTTTTCATTTCTTCCAGTTGAACTCTGGGAAAGAACTTTAGAATAGGCTATAATCACTTCCACCAACATCTTTCTAATTTCCTGCATATATTATCACCTGTTCTCATTTTAAATTCATGCTCTCTGCAGCTGATTCATGATTATATATGAAGGAATGAAGTTAGTATGAAATATTCAAAATTGTATATTCACCATTGTTTTTGGTGAAGTGCAGAACTTGGTCTGTCATTATAAGGGCAGAGTGTAGATTGAGGATCTTCGTGAACAGAGTACTGAGGAGAATGATGTAACAAGAGAATGGAGAAAAATATGTAATAAGTAGTTTTATAATTTGTGCTCTTCATGGAATATTGTTAGGCTTATTAAATTGTTGGGGGTTGACTCTTCAGTTGAAGGTGGGGGCGGGGGGTGTCTTCATGATTCTGAATGTGTTTACATTAGGTTCTTTCCAGACTACCCCATGGATAGAGTGCAAACTGGTGAATGATTCCTTGAATTTAAGATGCACCTCAATTTTTCAACAGGGGAAATGTGAAAAATATGCATCTTATATTCAAAGTTATATGGTAGTTTGTTGATGCAACGGGCAACTGGTGTGAGCTGACATGTATGTTCTATATAGGTGTTTAGCCTGTTTCTGGACACACTGAACGAGCTCATTCTGACCCACAAAGCGGACCTCAATGACTGGCTATATGTGCTGTTGACAAGACTTCTTAATAAACTTGGTGCAGATCTGCTTGGTTCCATTCAGAATAAAATTCACAAGTCCTTGGCTGTGGTGAGGTGAGCGTTAATTTCTTGTTTACAGCATATTTTAGATTTGTTTGGAGAAATGGGCAAGTATATTAGAACTACACAAACTTTTGACATTTGTGTCACTGCATTGTTAGTTGCAGATGGACCCTGTGCTTCAGTATTTGGTGTAGTCTGGAATGCTTGGTCATTTTCTAGGTCAAGAACTCTCTTGTATGGCACATAAGATGAATGTGTAAACAGTTAAAAATTTAAACTATTTTGAAGATTAATGTGATTCTCTACAGTCTAAGTTTAATAACATTTCAGTACCAAAACATTTCCCATCTCTGCCTTAAACCAGTCTCCATTTTATTTCATTAATATAGGCATGTTTTGGTTCAAAGAACCATCATTAGTACAAATATGGTTATGCCTGAAGGTGTTACACACTGATGATGGTTTTGCTTTAAGTTGCACTTGACTCTCCAGTTAACTGCTTGAGGATTATGTCCAGAAATGTTCATTAGATTGAAAAATGTTCTGGGCAAAGTGCTCATGTTATGTACATTACTTGATATCATATGGAAAATTATGGTAACAGTAAAGACACTATTTTAGTTATGGCGTTAGCTTGTTCATATAGTTTTTGTTAACATGAAAGTAAAAAATTTACTCTGGAGAGAATATTTTCTTTTTTGTGAGTGTACGACAAAGTCACTTTTGTGATTCTAAAGTAAGCAAAAATCGTAATTTACTCATGTAAATACAGTGTCTCATTCAAAGTTGCTGTGTAGGACATGCAGTATGAGGCAAAATTGTCCAGTGTGATACTGAATGTAGCATATACTTATTCCTTAATAGTTGCCATTTCTCGGGGCCTACTTTGGTTGTAGCCCTCTATTAGGCTCTTGTTCCCAGTTCCCATTGGCTGCAGATCCCAACCTGTCTAACATTCACCCTGAAGACTGGAGCAGCAGATCTTCAGAACATTGGCATCTGAGAGTACATGGTATCATAACCCAGAAGATCATAATATGCAACATCTTTTACTACAATGAAAGCCTCAAATCACAACTTGTGCTCCTGTTTCATAAAATGAGAGTGGAATCTAATGTGTTTTGGTTTTGCAAGAGAATATGTACTTGTATTTAAGGAACCATGGAGAAGCCCCACCACCCAAATTGATATGTAATAACCAGGGCCCGGATTTTGATGGCCTGAAAATATTTAAAAAAACGGCTGAAAAAATCCAGAAAAATTACCTAAAATATGACCCAAAAATGTAATATGCAGGGCCCGGATTCTGATGACCTGAAAATATTAAAAAATGACCGAAAAAATCGAGAAAAATGACCTCAAGGAGAAAAGAAATAACACTTCGCTTCCATGTTATTCCCATTTCAGAAAACATATAAAGAAAAATTCCCTAAAAAGACCAAAAGTGACAAGAAATACCCTTAAAAGTCCAAAAATTACCCCAAAATTGAAAAAAATGACCTTAAACCTAAAAATGACAAAAAATTACCTATGAAATTTACATTTCTGTAACTAGCAGCTCATATCCGAGATTTATATATTTAAGAGCATCGCATAGGATACAAGGAAAAAAAGATGACATGTCATCAAAATCTGGGCCCTGGTAATAACAGAACAAGACTTGAAATATGTTCTTCAGTGAAATGCCCATATTTTCCATGTATGTTCTTTGTGCTTTGCATTAATGAGTTTCTGGACTTTGTCCATTGTGTAGTATTCCAAGAGAACACAGTGCTTTGAAATCAGGGCATTTTGTTATCTTTCACATTACTAGATGATTGATGAAGCCCAAGAACTCAGTAATCTGAAGTGAAATATACAATTATCAGAAGCCTATTGGAGTCTTCTTTGTAACTATACATTCTTCTTTAGTGTTCATTTATTGCAAACACTAATCAATTTCTTTGTTTCTTTCATCTTATTCGTCTTATACTCAACTCTTGTAATACAAATCTGGAATATAATTCAACATGTAATTTTCATGAGTTTTTGTTCAGTGGCTTTTTTTGTTAGTCTGTTTTGCGGGTTCCCCCCCATATTGGTTAGTCTATTGACAAATCTATTTAACCCTTTCAGCTGCCAACCCCTGCCATAGAATTATATGCTAGATATTTCAGGGTTGCTTGGGGGTAAATGCAGTTGCCTTCAAATGACCTTTAAACCGCGGCAGATATGGTACATCCCTTTGCTAGAAATGCTGTTCTGATTTATTAATAAGTAGCCTATCTTTTTGCTGTGGCAGTTTTAATGTAAGTACTCGAGTGGATATAGTCAATATATGGTGTGAAGAGAGTTAAGAGTAAGAATGTATTTCATTAAATACATAGTCAGATATTTTGTATGAGTTTAACAGCTTAATGAGTTTCATAATTTGTGTGATATGCTAGTTTATCTGTATTGAGCTGTTCTGCTCAAAATTGATAGAAATTCCATTAGAGATGTGTGTAAAGTAGGGATTATATAGGACATATACAAACCAAAATCAAATTCACTCAACAAGTTTTGTCATAGACAGAATATCATCAGAATCTGCGTAATAATTTCTAAGATGGAATTTGTGGATGGGCTGAAAGGTCAATGAACCAGCACAGACTTGTCATTATTTGTTCATTTCATGCACTTTGTGCAAAGGACGTATAATGTACTGTAACCTTCCACTCCACATACAGGTTTACCAGCTGTGGAACTGTTATGTTGAACTGTTCTTATTCATCAATTGCATATAGGGAGTCATTCCCAGCAGAGCTACAGATGAATGCTATCATGCGATTCTTGGTGGATGCAACGCAAACACCCAACTCCAAGGTGAAGGTGGCAATCTTGACATTTCTTACTCAACTTGCCTCGTGCATGGAACCGTCAGCATTTGGCCCTGTGACCATCTCGGGCAGAGACCCCACACCTGCTGCCCTTGCCAAAATAATTGGATGGACTAGTGATGCCAAGTCCAGTGAAATCAGAAGAGCTGCCCAGGCAGCAGTGATAGCGTTGTTCAACCTCAGCACATCTCAGGTCACAATGATCCTAGGAAGCCTCCCCACAGAATACCAGGTGAGAAACTTCATTATACATTGCAACCTGGAAACGAACAAGTCAAATATGAATCCAGTCAAGAGTTATAGCAGTTGCTGCTCCTATTCTAAAAAGTATTGTTAATATTTTTTACTTCAAATTAAGTACATTTATTTGATATTTGCAATAGAATTCTGAACACAATTATATATTGAATTCTTACCCCCCAACTTTAACCATGATTGGTGTTATATAACCTGAATTACTGACAGCATCATTAAATACACTACAAGTAAACAAATTAACCACAAATTTTCACTTAAATATATATAAATATATTTAATTAGTCATATAATCTGCACCTTCAGCCCCTGCTCTGTTTCTTGTTCCCAATTTTAATAGATGCATATCAAACTTTCCATAATAATGCACACAAGCATTTACTGTTGTTCAGCATATGAAGTGTGGGAACCTGCCATTGTTCAAGGGCAGGTAGCTAAACATAGGCAGTTAAGGTAGAAGGGTAGGGAGGGAGAGAGGCTGAGAAACATGCATTTTGAAACAAATCACATCTGTGCACACTTTCCTGTTGGCCTCTGAACTGTAAATGCTGTAAGTGCAAGGGACTCTCAAATTATAGTTGAAATAAACACTGGATTCTCATCCACCCTTCAGATCTCTTTAATTGGCTGCTTTAGACACAGGCCACTAACTCTTGGGATTTACTGCAACTCTGTGTAGATTAGTTTCCTCTTATTGAATATGAATTGCTGAAATGTACAGTTTGTTTCAGACTACTTAGCAAATCAAAAGTACAGCCTACAGTGACACTGCACTTCACATGACAGAAATACATCTGGTAATGACAGTAGTGCAGAAATGTATGGCTTCATGAAGGAATCAATTTGGCTAAGAGAAATACTTTGAATACTTCCTGATTTTAGCCTTTCATAATGGTTATTTATTGATGTTAATTATATTTTTGGATTGTTACACCTTGTAGTTGTGGTCAGTGTTGTCAACATTTTGGAGATACATGTTATCTCTGTCTTTGAGGTTCAAGTATGTAGATTCGTGAGTTTCTGTATATATATAGCAGTTTGTTTTCAAAAGGAATGGGGAAGAGGGGATAGAGTGGGGATTGATGCTTTGCCTGTGCCAGTAGGAACAGTGCACTGGGAAAGTTATGCAGATGGCCTTTTTAAGGACCCATAAATGCATCAAAAATGCCATCAGCGACCATTTTTTTTCAGTATATGTATATACAAGTACGTGGTAGAGTCATTAATTTCGTGGACTGTGGTTTTATCGCATCATATTACAAGGGATTCACATACACTTATACAGATCCACATTGGCCCTCAAAATAGTTGCCATTGGCAGCTATGCAAGTCTGCCAACGTTGATATAGCTGCCGAAAACATTGCTGAAACATATTGGCAGAAAATTCCCATACGGCGTCTCTTGTGGCAATGACCATCTCCTCGGACGACTGAAATCTGCAACCACTTAGCTTTGTTTTCAAGCGGTGAAAGAGAAAGAAGTCGCACGGTGCGAGATCAGGTGAGTACGGAGGGTGTGGCAAAACGGTGACCTGTTGCCTTGTCAGTTCCTCTTGGGCAAGAACAGAGCGATGTGCAGGGGCGTTGTAACCACTTGCTGATGAGATTTTTGGTGCATTCCTGGGCCCTTAAAAGGGCCATCTGCATAACTTCCTCAGTACACTCTTCTTACTGGCCCAGACAAGGCTCCAATCCCCACTCTGTTACCCCCCTCCCCTTCTTTTTCAAAACAAAATGCTATATATACATAGCAACTTACCAAGCTACACACTTGAAGCCTGAAGATTTTAAAACTTGGTTAATTAATTACAGTTCATGTACTAATAAAATGGAGTACTTCATGTCACAGACAAAAAAAAAAAGAGTTTTGGGTTGAATACATCCATGCATGCACCTGTCTCTCTTATTTTTATAAAAGTATGAACCCATAGTTTGCCCTTACATAGCCCTCAAGATTTCTGCATGTGTCTGCAGTCCCTCAGTAATGATAAAGCAGCTGTTGCTATGCACTGCTTGTAGCACACACTACACTATTCAATGTGTCTGACTTGATAATTCTATCTCTCTCCATTTTCTCATGTTGATTCTTTCAGTGAAGGTTACAGCAGGGAAACAATGGCTTGCAACCAGCAGAGCCATGTGTGCAGGATAAAGATTGCTGCACATTGTTTGTTACTGTTGTACTCTTATTTCATTCTTGACACTCTTTCTTGAATCTGCAGAACAAACCTGTGGCACAGAGAAGACCATGTTTTCATGATGTATGCAGTTCATCAGCTGTAAATGGCTTGAGGACAGAAAAAGTACTGTGGTGATGTGGAACATCACTGTACAGTAATTGGTCAGTTTAGATCTCACTAGGAGCAGTTCTACAATGAAATTATTTTCCTTTTCATTATATTGCTTCTTTACTTCCTTGTTGAGACAGACTGATCCGTAATCAGTAAATGCCACCAACACTTCTAGAAACCAGGCGGAGGGCAGAAGCTGTCATAAAAATAAATCTGTTACTGTCAGTGGGACTTGCTATAAAATAATGTACAGTATCAGTTTAGTTGTTAAACCACTCATGCCACCTCTTTGAGTTTGGAACTGAACAAATAACTCAGACTGCTCCTTCATTGTCAATATACCAAGCTTTGAATTCTTCCTGTCCTTGCAGGAGGCTGCAGCCACTTTAGTACACAGTCATCTGCGCAGGAGTAGCAGTGGAAGTGGGAGCTCACCCCCATCACCATCAGTTCCATCATCTGTTGTCATGTCCTCACCGCGCTTGCAGTCACCAGGGAACACCACACCCCAGCAACTGCAGCCACGAGGATCCTTGCATGGAAACTCACTTGCAGACCTTGATGATGATAACCTAAACCCTGAAGAAGTGTACAGGTAAATGATGCCACTAAGTGTGAGTTATTTCAGTTTTAGTTAAGTAGTTAATGTGAATTTCTGTACACTCTTTGAAACTGTGTGTCTTGTTGGTGCATTTTTACTTACTTTAAGGTACACTTGACTTAATATTGTAAGTAATGAGTTAAACATATCACAGGTTTTTTATGTTTTCTGCAATGTAAGGAAGTACCACGCACTTCCTGGAGGGAAATTTAAAAATACTTTATTCAAAATTGGTTTCTAGGCAACAGTGTCTGGTAATGTCATGAAGTAACCAATTGTTCAGATGACTCTCAACCCTCTGTGAAGAATAAGGGTAATTTAATTTGTATTAGCCTGCATTTGTAAACATAATGTATATGTATGTACTAAGATGAAATTTATGTTATCATATCTTTATGTTTGCGTGTATCCATGAAAAGCTTCACTCACAGAATTTTCCTTAAGGAATACCATTATTGCTTGTTTCTTCTAAGAATTAAAAAATAACAGCCCCATGAGAATGCATATACCATATTTACCCAATGGATGAGGACTAAATCTAAGCTCACCTTGTGCTAGGAAACATGTTTGCACATAAAAAGTTACTTTATGTTTTAATTTCTGCACAAGTTAAATATGTGAACGGTAAGAAATATTTGAAAACATTGTACATTACATTCCACGAACTTAAACATGCCTTAATTTAGGATGAACTATTGAAAGAATTATACTGCCACACGCTAGAGATGGAAAAATTATATATCATTATATAATTTATTTTTATATAGGCACTGAAATTTCTTGCTTTCTGTTGACTTTACTAGTTATTAATCTTGGATATTTATCCAGTTGAGTGAACATGGTATGTGGTGAATTTTAATTTTTTGACAGGACACCATTTCAGTTTCTGGCCAGGCTCATTTGGTTTAGAGATTCAGCAGATATGTAAAAATAGCTGTGAATCACTGCAAAAGCTATGTAGTGTGTTGGGCAGTATGGCTGGGGTTCACTGCACCATGATGTTTTTGCTTTGTATTGAAATGTTGTTGTTTCTCTCCCAACAGCGAACGCTGGTAAGTGGCTCTTTCTCTTTGCTGTGTCTGTGTGTCCATCCCACTGGTGGAGCATAATTCAAGTGCTGGAAATGAAGAGCTCTGATCCCCAAAGCCTGTTTTTATTTTGCTTAATTATGGTGAAACTTGGATATAACAAGAATATATATATAAACATGAGACCAAATGTAACAGCAATGACATTTTATGGAACCAGGATAGCTCATCCAGTATAGCGACTAGGCTCTGGGCAGCCAGGATTCAATTTCTGGCAGGAGAAAGCAATCATTCTCTTTTCCATAACATGCAAAGTGACTGTAGCACCCACCTAGCCCTTTCTCAGTTGGTACCTGGGACTCTATCTCCAGGGGTTAAGCAGCAGTGACATGAAGCTAACCACTCTCACCTCCATCTTGTGCTGAGGTCAAGAATGGTGAATCTTTACCCCAGATCTCCCATATGCCTTTATGGCATACCACTTAGTTACATAATGAAGTACAGGAATAACTTTTACAAACATTTTGTAAATAGTTTTAGACTGGGGTCTGAAGGAGAACTGAAACACACTTCTGACACCTGTTGACTCTCAAATGCCTCAGTCTCTTTAGTTAGGTAAAGTAAGTAAAGCTATCCCTGTACCAGGCCGTGAAGGCCGTTAGGTTGTGAGACGTTGAGAGTCCCACATTATCTAGACAGTCAGCTCAAAGATGGCAGTAAGGTTTAGTTAGGTGAAAAAGAAAATGTGTTTCACCAAAACCTGTAGTTTGAGCAGTCTAGTGCCCATACCCATCTGTCTGATACATTTTCTGTTTAGAATAGTCTTCGTAATGCCTTCATTTAGTTTACATTGACTTTTATAGGAGTTTGTATACAAAAATGTTTATTATGGCATGTAGACCCATTGCTAGGCAATGACCACACAACAAACGGCTAGACAATGGCTGTTACTAGGAAACAGTCCATAACAGTAACAATGGAACAGTGTTTTCTGTGCATTCTATGCTGAGATGTTATAAGCAGAACATTTAGTTTAGTGTGTCAGTTGGTTTGTGAGTGACTGAGTTAGTCAGTCAGTCAGTTAGAGAACTGCTGAGGTTCACTCATTGTGAGCTGCTGCCATGAGAAGTTGATAGCTGAGGCTGGGGGCCGTTCGGGAACCCAGAGAAAGGGAACATCCACTGTTGGAAGCCATTACCGAGCAACAAATAGGGAAGATGTGACTGTGGACATAAGTGTATGTGTGTGTGAGTAATGGTGAACTGTAAAGTGTAGTCACGCTCTGTATCAAAGAGTCCAGCCTATCTGTTCATCAGTACAAAACCCATCTATGGGCACACTCATGCACATGACAGTATCAAAATTTGAAATATTTCATATGAAAGGTTTTCAAAAGTGATAGGATGTATTAGGGCATTTATGAAAATTAAATAATATTTTGTAGCATCATTAGGAATGAATATAGAGGATATGGATATTAATTACAATGCACATTATTATGAATTTGTTGAGATTGACATGACATGAGATGGCAAAATTCTGATTAAGTTTGTGTTTTGCATTTTCTTTGTATCGATGGGGCTTTTGATGTAAGGTTTATAACTTTCCATTCTTTTTGTATCCAAGGTTCACTGTATTACATTTTTGTATTCAGCATTACCTGCATATGCCATAATTGTAATGCATTTTGAGTATAAAATCTGAGCATGGAATCGAATCCAAATGTAAAGGGTAGTTACTGTGGTTCAGTGACAAATGGGATGAAGGGTGTTAGCTCTTTTAATAGTAATAATGTGGCTGAAATGACCAGGATATTTCTTAATGTGTAGACTGTTTAGCAGGTAACTGATGTGTGATTTTCTGCCAAAAATATGGGGAGGGGTTGACCTTTCCTCCATTTGTAGTTGATACCTGATCCTGAATCATTTGAATTGAAGCTTGAGCATGTGTATAGTTGTCTTGCAGGCCTGTTTTGGCTCCATTATCTTTGCATGTACCTCTCTTTGCTTTTCTGGTACATAAGATTCCATCACCTGAAAGACAGGGAGGGAACACCCACTTTTGAGGATACTTTCATTCCTCACAGACAGTATTTTCAGTTCTTTGTTGCTGAATATACTTCCAGGTAGCAAGACTGTTCCTCTTTGTTGTACGTGAACTTTCATAAGTCCTGACTGAATTGTGTTACAATTGCAAGTATGATGAAGTTAATTGTGTACCATGTATCACTTTTGTATAATGGATTTTTATAGAAACTTGGTAAGTTCAATTTGGCGTCAAGTAAATTCAAGTAGGATGTACCAAAATTAAATACACTCAGTCATTTTAATGTGTACAATCAGTACTAGGTTTAACTGAAATCTGTAGAGTGGTTTTATAGGAAAAAATACTGTGGCATGTAGAGCTGTATAATAGCTGTTTCTAGGTAATGGCTGCAACAGACACACATGCAACAATAGAGGAACTGTTGGAAGCAGTGTTCTCTGTGTGGTTGAGGCTATATAACTAGGGCCAGTATGAAGAATAGGAGGTTGGTGTGAGATGGTCACCAGCCTGGGAATTAGTGGAGTGAGTTTGTTGGTGAATGAGTGAGTTAGAGGACTTCTGCGGTTCAGCCCTTGTGAGCTGTTGCTGTTAGAAGCTGGTAGCTGAAGCATGGGGACAGTTCGGGAACCCAGAGGAAGGGAACGTCTGCCATTGGTAGCCATTAGCAGAAAACTGATGAAGACACAGCAGGCTGAGAAGACTTAGTACTTGCTATAGTGAACTACAGTGTGTGTGAATTAGTGGTAGTGCTGCAGTTACTTGTAGTTATGATCTGTAAGTATTCAGTAAATCCAATTACCAATCCAAACCCTGTCTGTAGTAACACTCGTACACATTACAACTGGTGTCAGAAGTTGGATTGGATTGGATTAGATTGATTGATTGATTGATTGATTGATTGATTGGATTATGTTGTGAATTGTACACTATCAGATTTGAATCAAGGAGATGGATAATTATGGCAGATTTTGAATGTCTTGTAGCCACCGTAGGAAGGCTTGAAACCATGATGCAGAACAGAGAAGAAATGCTGGCCAAGATGGAAACCAACAAAGAAAAGATGATGGCCAAGTTAGTTGCTTATCACGAAAGGAAGACAGCCAAAATGGATGCCCGGACAAAAGGACAAAAGCCCTGTGTAGGAAAATTGGAGACCAACCCAGAAAAGCCAGATGCCATAACGGAGCATCGGGGAAGTCCCTAAAGCAGAGTCTTCAGTGGAAACTATCTGAGTACTGGAGGACCAATGTGAGGACTCACATCTAGCTGCAGGGAGCTGCTGATAGCCAAAGAAATGAACCCAAGGTGATGGTGGTCCCAGAAGAAATAGGCCACTGCCCACGGATGGATGACCCACTGTGCTGTTCCTGCACCACACAAGGGATATGGTCATTAGGGACCAAGCAATGACTATGTTGTACTTGGAACCAAAGGATAGACGTTTGCGAAGAGATGACTGACGTGACTTAAATGTAACAATGGCTTAAAGGACCAAGACCTGAGACAGGACCAAGGAGATATTTTATGAGACTCTCAGACAAATCATGGCACTGGAGGTTACAACATGACCAGTCTTATTAAAATGAGTTTTGTTTGAACAGCTGTGTGGATAACACTGTCATGTGATAGAGAGATTGCAGACAGGGTTTTGATTGATAATTGGATTTATTAGACAGTTTGATACCGCGCGTAACTACACTGCTGTTGCTAGGTAGCAGCTACCAGCTTTCAACAGCAACAGCTCACAATAACTGCATCCCAGCAGTTCTATAACTAAGTACAACTCAAAGTCAAAGTTATGTTATGACTGATGGTCAGTTGGCCAGTCTATCTTGGTGTCAAGCACCCATCTGAGGCCAAAGACCAGATTTTTGTTACTGTCAAATAGTTGCAGGTTTGTTGATGTGGGGTGCCCTCTCTGACGTGAGGATGGGTCTGTTATTCACAATTGCTGTCCCTCACAGTCATTCTCGGGTCTGAGGCCTTTGGGACATATGACCATATTTTACTGTCTCAGATTGAAGACTCCCCCAGCCTGGAGGGCCAGGTCCCCATATTTATATACCCCAGAAACAAACAGTGGGGGCCCAGTTATAACCCCAGGCACTCAGTTTCATTTTTGTTGCCTCCTACGACTTGCAGGGCTACAGTGGAGGTATTTGAACCCACCTTCACACAGAGATAACTGCAACTGCTAACTGGTCCTGCTTATAACATCAAGGCACTGACCACACAGAAAATGTCTCTTCCATTATTGCTGTATTCTCTTGTTGCCATGGAAACATGCTTATTTGTGGAGCTGTTACTTAACAGTGGCTGTTGTATAGTTTCTTATTTCATGGTCATTGCCTAGCAATATGTCTACATGCCATGATACAGTAAACAGACAAACCATAAGCAAACCAAACATATATGACAGATTTTTAACCAAAAGACATTGTCACTTCTCTTTGAACTGTGTTTTGGAAGATTAATGGAAGGGGGAAATATGAGTGATTGGCTGGAAACCATGGCCAGAACACCCACATACATTATACAGTTTCCATTTGAAGGTGCAGATCCATTCCATTTTCCTTCATTTGCTTACAGCGTGGTTTCTGCAAACTTGTGGGCTAACAAACTGTAGTAATGGCACTCTTGGAACAGGATACATTTGTTGGCTAATGGGACCGTGCCATAGTGTCTTAAGTTATTTGTGATTTATAACAGTGTTCCCATTGTCAACAATAGAAAATCGACCAGTTCGTAGGTTTACATGTTGCAATTATATTACAACAAATTTTAGTGGCTTTTGGAAATTTGTCAAAGTGAAAATTCATTGAGATAGATAACACTGGTAGATGAAAATGTGTATTATGTGAAACAAGGCAGGTAGGGTGACAAAACAAGCTGGTCTGCTTTTCTGGATTTTGGCATCATGCCTTTGTCATTGGTCCACCTCACAACCCACACATTTCATTCTTTCCGTATTTATCTCCACCTCTCATTTTATTATGTGATGATATTTTTTGAAACACCAATATAAATCATTGAACTTATGAGGTAGATGAATTAGACATATCTGCTATCAGGTTCGGACCATGGGACCTACAGCCTGAATATGTCGTGGATAAAACACCCAGACTACAATAGATGCTGAAAATGCTGTCAGTTGTTCTGCACACCTATCTGCCATCTCTATTAGAAGCTTATATTCATATCTTGAAATTCTTGGAAAATAAGGAAAACTTGCCTTTGTGTACTTTCTCTCATTTCTTCACTCATGTGAGGATTTGATCTATGAACTTCTTGCTTTATGAGTGCCCATATGTATGTATGTATGTATGTATGTATGTATGTAAGTAAGTAAGTAAGGGGTGGGCCATAAAACATGGCCCTCGCGCTGCAACCTTCCATGATCTATTGTGCTTCCCCTTGGATTAGCCCTTTATTAATCCTACACTTTTAATAAAATGTAGGACCTTGCTTATGGGGGCATCATAAAAGTCACTTGGGTCCATAAAAACTGACCCAAGTGACGAAATCTTAAATAAGCTATGGCCTCACAGGATGTGTGTGTGGCTGATTCGTTTTCGCGTAGGCACCTTTCACAGGTTGGGTCATCTGTCAGACCCAACTTGAAAAGGTGCCCTTTTAGGTGGCAGTGTCCGATAAGTAATCCTACCACCCATTTTAGTTGAATGAGTGCCCATAAATAAAAGTCATATGGACCCCAGTTTCTTGTTCAGTGAATATCATGGAGAATATTCAGCCTGCACCAGTTTCATCAAATTTCTGTTCAGCGAGCATTTTGCATTTCAGTTTGCTTTTCTTTTGTGGTTCTGGTAACTATCCTTCCTGTCTTAATTTGTTTATAATTCTGTGAATGGTTTCTCTATGTGGAACTGCATCATCCTGTAACTTACACTGGAATCTTCGCCTTCCTTTTCTTGCAGAAACCACTCATCACATAGCTATTGTACATGAGCACTCATTCCTATGTTTATCTCACATGTGGCATGTTGACACAGTAAGAAAGTAACTGCTCATCTCACAGGTCAAGGACAGTAGTGGGAGGTTCAGGAGGTATGAGTGGTCTAGTCTGTGACAAGTAAGCTTTATTAACAGTTGTACTGTCTACAGAATCTCACTTTATAAGTCCATCTTTGTTCCTTAATACCGGCAGCATCTAGGACACTGATTTATGTAAATATATTAAATTTCAGTAAAACTTGTTACAGCCTCCTTTTTAGAGGACCATCATGTAAGGTCAAGGCAAGGAGGATGAGGTGGGCAGGGCATCTAGCATGAATGGGGGCGAAGAGGAACGCATATAGGATATTGGTGGGAAAGCCAGAAGGAAAGAGACCAGTGGGAAGACCCAAGGCGTAGGCAGGTGGACAATATTAAAATGGATGTTAGAGAGATAGGATTGGATGGTATGGATTGAATTGATTTGACTCAGGATAGGGACCAGTGGAGGGCTCTTGTGAACATTGTAATGAACCTTTGGGTTCCATAAAATGCTGGAAAAAAAATCATGTAAGGTTCCTGTCTTCAAAGTTTATAATCACAGGCTGCTAACTATGGCACAAAGAAAGTTTTTAGACTTCAGGTTTGGTGAACAATTTTGGCACTAGAGGAGCGTACAGAGTTATATATATGTATTATTAAAAAAGTCATCTCTTCATTCTTAGGGACATATGAATTATTTTTCCATTTAAAATAATGTTAGACTCTTTCTGGCCTTGGTATTTTTTTTTATTTATCTGCAGACCAGCTGTGTTTTGTGAAATGTGAGATTGTGTTTTTTGCAAGAAAGTAATGTGCCTCATTCGTAGAACTCGTTTTAAAGACTGAATGATTGTAGCTAAGTAGTACAGTGATGTTTCAGTACAGCAGCTGGATTCGTCTGGCACAGGATAGACAGCCTCTTGTGAATTTGATATTAAATCTTTGCATTCTGTAAAAGGTGGATAATTTCTTGATTGCCTGAGTGGCTGTCAGTATCTTGAGGGTTCTGCTCTATGAAGTTGTTCCGTCAGCCTGTACAGTAGTTTGCCCAGGGTGTAAACATTATGACACAGTGTAGGTAATGCTTGCACTTAAAGGAACAGCCACTATATGCTGCAATGCTGTTTTTTCCATGCAGGTCATTGCGTCGCACTACAGCTGAGATTCAGAACTACAGCTTTGAGGCTCTGGGTTCAGGAAAATTATTGGACCGTGACCGTGACACGACGTCTCAGGACTCTGGCATCAGTCAGATGTCAGCCGGGGGAGGGGACAAGATGGACACACTAGAAGAGCATATGGAGGACATGTCTATCACCAGAAACAACTCGGTGAGAGGCCCTATGGATACACTTCTTATGGAAGTACGGTCTGATTCCATTTGTAATGCCTGTTTGAAGAAACAGAAGAGAATGGGGGAATTTGTGTTTGCATGGTTCTTCGTGTAGCTTTACAGAGCTGGAAGCTACTGTATTGTATGGTATGTTATGAAGTGGTATTATTTAAGGTGATGGCAGACAGTTTTTACTTCAAATTAACATTTCTGTGATTTCCCACAGAATTGCATAAGAACTGTGAACAATTATATCAAGATATTACTATTGAGAATCATATCAAACTTGTAAGCACACATGTGCCGTCCCCAAGAAACAGAGAGAGAGAGGAAGGGGGGTAACATTAAGCATATGTGGGAGAAAGTGTTGAATGACTGAATGAATATGTGAAATTTTAAGCTTCAGCAGATCCCAGAAGCATGCAGATTCCATGTAACTCTTCTTAGCACATGGCTGCTTGGCAGTAATTTGTAACAGAGGCATCTTACATGCATTTTGGGATCACTTCTGCTCCATTATGAACGCACTGTATGCTGTTACGGCATCTGAGTCCTGGGTACAGTTAGAATCCAGGCACCTATTCCATAAATTATCTTGTCAAGGTATTTAACTGTCATTAATGTATTGTAATCCATTTATTTGTGACATCTAATAATGCAGCAATTTTTTCTTTGGTCTCTGATCGCTGTCATTGTGAGAATGGATGGTGGCTGGTAGTACAAACCAGAAAGTAACAGTAAATTGCTGGTGCATTGCAGGGCCGGTCATCGTCACTGTCATCCCCCACACACCGCCTCAACTCCCTGCGGGACTACAATGGACTCGAGAAGTCTGTGGCTGACATTTCACTAGATGGAGAAAATGGCTTCATTCCTCGTGGTAACTGCTGTAGTTGATATTAATTTTATTGTCTGTGTACACTTGAGCATCTTCAGGTGATCTCATTCCTAGCATCGGCATGTTTCAGAGAGTCACCACCAGGAAGACAGTGAGGAGGTTAGGAAGGTCATTGATGCTCTGCGGGTGGCAGACCAGAATGGGGAAAGTCCAGGGTGTGAAGGTACAGAGGCAGAACGTAAGGTGGCGCTGATGCAACTCATTCGCCTCATCAGAGAGGGTAGTCCCCTTGCCATTATGGATAACTTCAAGTGAGTGTTACTGTCAGCTGGAGCCATCAATTGAAATAATTACACTATTCCATGAAATATAAAATGAGACATGGCATAAGATTTAATACATTGTATGTGCTGATACAGAATATGCACAACAGAAGTTATAAGCTCATAAATGAGTACAAAGGAATGTAGAAAAATAATTGTATTCAGTATCATAAACACTTGCCTCATTACTGAGCATTTGGCTCAGACAGTAACAGTTCGGGCTTCATTCAGTTGAATCTCAGATGAGATGTAGCTCTCTTGGCTGAGGTTTTCGTGGTGTTCCCCAGTCCTTGACAAATTCCAGGACCAAGATAATTCCTCAGATTAGTCCATGACCACTTCCTTCCAAATCTTTCCAATATATTGTGACATGTTGCGCTAAGGAGAACCACCCCCCACCAGCAGTGACGCGGCGGGTGAGTCAGCGCTCCCCTCCCCCCTCCTCCGCACGGTAACGAAGCCCGCCCCGCCACTCCCCTCCGCGGTGACATCACGCGGTGACGCGGAACTGCTTCCTACTGTGACGTGGAACGTAACAGGCAATCCTGCGGCTATATAAGTGAGCTGCAGTGCCGGTA